AGCAGGTTTGCGTTTCGCCATTTAAGCCAATCAGAGAAAACGACGGCTACGACATTAAAAGCTTGAACAGCAAATCTCCGGCAAACTACCATTCCAACTTGTCACATTCCTTGGGTGCAGCCACCACAACCGGGACTTTAACCTCCATCACCGCAACTGAGGACACTGAAGAACTTGACTTGGAGATAATGGAGCTGAGCTATAACCGGGAAAACAAGCAGTCTGACTTTACTAAAAATAACGGCAATATTCCTCTTCGACCTGAAGTGAAAAAGAAAGCCGACCTAGCCATTGGCTTGCCTTCTGACACTGTAGAGCAAGTAATTTCATCAAATAACAAGCAGTTTGATGAGCTGGTTGGTAACATCAAGAACTCCTTCAAAAAAGCCAACAGTCGGATTCGTTACCAGAGTCACTGTCTGCCGGAGACTGAAAAAGAGCATAGCGACTACTACATTTCTTCCGAAAGTCGCTCTGGATTGTCCTCCGCTTCTCGGATCTTGTCGAAATCTTGTCCGATACTTTACTTTTCTGACGTTCAAGAAAAGCGGCTCTCAGTAGATGACAATGTCAAAGCCTCTTCCCAACTCAGCAATAGCTCCGTTGCTGCTGCGGGAAACTCAAATCAAACAACTGATGGCAAAACAGTGATCGGCAAAACAAATGTGAACTTGGAAAATCCTGCTAAGCGAATTCAGCGATCAGCTAGCCTAAAAAAGACCAGCAAGTCTGTCGATCATACCAAAGAGGCTCGACATCTCTTTCACTCTCGACATGAAAGCTTTTCGCAGTTTCATCGCCAGTATCCATCGATTGACAGCAAAGGCAGAAATGACCTGTACGACTCCTCAATTGACATTCCTCGCAAAACTGATCCAATGCACTGGAAGTACACACCACACGAGATGCTCGACCAAATGCTGCTTTTGAACTTTGAACAATTAAACGTAAAGAAGTCTGATCAGTCTGACACAAGCTGCCAGCTGCTAAAGAACAGTCGAGACTCGGCGCTGAATACCGGCAGCTCAACCAGCAGCATGGAGCAGATGTTTTCAGCAAACCGTTCTCTGAAAAGTACAGAGGAGGGCTTGCGTAAGCAGCTGATGTTCATGACGCTCCATCTAATGTTTGAGCGACATCAGCGAGACCTGGTTGTGCTTCGTAACCGTAAGCTGTACAAGAACCTAAAGGAGTCTATCAAGTTGGAGGAACAGGTACTGCTCTCTGAACAGTAGATAAGCGATTGTTGTGGACTTCAGTAAAGGAGGCGAGTGCCTTTGCCAGTGCGCACTGATTTGCGCACTGTGATTTGGCAATGCTTGTGCGATAGCTAAGTCTTATCAGATTTGCTTGCCTCGTTAGCACGAGTCGTCCATGTGCTCAAAGTCCACAACCGCTTATCTACAAAACCGTTTTATGAATTTGCAATTTGAATTCAATTAACACACATTTATTTTGCAGTTGCGTGCATCGAGACAGCTTATTGAACAGATGGTAAGTTATTAAACGGGTTTTTATTTTTCATATGCTTACAACTTTCTTTTTATTTAGGAAACTGAACAAGGCAGGTTGGAGGAAAAACTTAAGGACAAGCTTTACGACTATTGCCATTACCGAAAGGCTATGAAAAACCAGCTGGCCAAGACTGAAAATGAGCTAGATGAGCTCAAGGGAAAGTGCCAACAGCTTGAAATTGAGCATTCTCAAATGGAAAAGCGATACACTGAAGAAATTAAGAGCTTGCAAGAAAACTACCGAATGATTGATACTGAGCTGAAAAAGTATCAAACTAGCTTTGAAGGAAAGAATTCTGATTTGGTCAAACTGTCGGACGAAAATTCTGACTTGAAGCGTAGACTCTTTGTGTATGGTGAATTCTACAACAAACTTCGTGATTCGTACATGCAAAGTCGCAATGTCACCACCGATCTCAATGAAAAGTTGTGCATCGATGCACTCAAAAACGAAAACTCCTGTAAGTTTTTGCGCCCTTTCGTACACAGCTTAACAATTACCAGTAATCATTTGCTAATCGACTTTTTCATACAGTGCTGAACAAGCAAATTGCAGAGTTGACTTGTCATCTGGAAGTTTGCAAAGATCGATGCTCTACCCTGGAGAAAAGACTGAACCAACAAGAGGCTCAAACGAAGATGAGGATGGAATCACAGGATACGCAGTACTTTAAGGATCTCTTAAAGGTATATTATGCTGACAGTTTTATTTTATTTACTAGTTTTTATTCTGTCTAGTCAAAGGACACACGAATAAAGTCATTGGAAACCACCGTCATAAACTTTGAAAAGCACATCCATGCTTTGAATGGCCAAATGAATGATCGTCTTTAAGGTCTTCATATTTTTTGGTAAGTGAAGATGCTTTTTCACTTTTCTTTTATGCTAATTTTGTTTTGTTCACTCGTTTCCTAAACAGACAATGTCAACTAAGGACAAAGATCGCCCTCATTGATCCGTTTTGAAAACCCTGCTTTTATTATCCTCAATCTTGATTGGTCTTTTTAAAGATTGAAGAAGGATTTACTCTCCCTGTCCAGCTTTTCATATGTATTTCTTATATTCCCTTATTTTATGGTCTTTTACCTGTGGCTGATGAACCTTCTTCATTCATGTTTCTGTGGTTGAGTGTGGCTTGTTTGCGAACTGTGCCTCCCAGTCATCTCGTTCACTAGTCACACACGGTCGTCTATGTTCAGTACACATGTGCGCGCATTGCAATAGCATAAAAACTATAATCTCCCAATCTTGGACTGTTGTTGTTCTACTGTCTCCGTGAGACAGATTGCTGTGTGATCTCTCTCCAACAGATTCCGAGCAGTGGTGATCTACCGAGGAGTTGTGAAGTTGCCAATTAGCAGTCCAATTCAGGACAGTTGCTGATTGAAGCACAAAGTGTGCAGACGACAGCAGGAGGAGGAAGAGAGGGCGCCCAGAGCCGACAGGTGCTAATATATGCACACACTCGAAAACTGTCACTAACCTTAACCGATCGACGGCTGGTGGAGCGTGTCGTTGTCGGAGGAGTCTGCCTGTCTCTGTCTGTCTATCTGTCTGCCTGAAGACGGAACCAACTTCGTCGAGGCAGTTTTGTCGCCTTGTCGTCTCAAGATTGGCACTTGTCCATTGCACTGTGTACTGCTGCTCTCTGCGTATACTCGATCTGCAGTCGCTTCGATTGCCTCCAAAAAGAAGAACGGCCAATTATTGGGCAAATGCAATGCAGCATGGACGACAGCTCAAGGGACTCCACTCGCTAGGAAACCACTGTAGCACCGCCATTTTAATGGTGATATAAAAGAGGGCACACTGCAGACAATGGCACATTTGCTGCAGTCATCCTCTCCGATCTAGTGATCTCTGCCAACCACCACACACACCATCAGTGAGACAATGCACTTTACTACGTTTCTGGGTCCCTGGGTGACGGTAAAGCCCTCATCAGCACCCGAATCGCTCTCTTCTCATGATCTTCTCTTCACTCTCAGTTTGTCATCTATACATCGGCCACACTGACCACTGCCTACTACAATGATGATTCATATGGCGATGATGGCGGCAGTTACCCAGAGAATGGCGCATACGAAGAGGGCAAAGGCGTAAACGATGATTATGGCGGGGGTGGAGGAGGTGGAGGTCACAACGAAGGTGGAGCGGCTCTCAGCTCTTCCGGAGGTAAGGGAGGAGATGGCGGTCATGGTGGCGGAGCAGTTGATGGCAGTGTCCACTCAAAGCACAAAGTCACATACTCAGTGGTGGACTCGCATTCGGAGGTAATGTAGACTGTCAAATGAAACGTTTTGTCCTATGAATGCAATAACCTTTTCCTGTTCAACCCTGCAAAAACACCCTTGTCAGCCTGCTCATACGCCCATAGTGGATATCAATTCAGGTAATAGTTCTGGTAGTAATTCCTGTAACTGGTCAGCTAATTTATATTTTAATCAGGTCCGCTGGCGTTGAAAATTCGCTTCAACTCTGTTTCGTCTTCGATAGACGCCATACAGGTTAAAATCTTAAGATTGAAAATAGATACAATCTGAACTTACTTTAAAAACTTACAGCAACACATCGGCAGCGTGGGAAAAGTGAAGAAGTCCTCTTCAGTTGACCAACCAGACATTCTCATTCACACAGTCAAGGTCAGTGATGTTCTAAAGTGTATAATATTTCGAGTAATAACCATTTCATTTTTGCACTAGCGTCCGATCATACAAGAGATTTCTGGTAAGTGATTCTTTGAGAAAACAATCTTGTACAACTTTAACCATTGTTGTTCTAACTTAAATTCCCTNAAGAAGTCCTCTTCAGTTGACCAACCAGACATTCTCATTCACACAGTCAAAGTCAGTGATGTTCTAAAGTGTATAATATTTCGAGTAATAACCATTTCATTTTTACACTAGCGTCCGATCATACAAGAGATTTCTGGTAAGTGATTCTTTCCAAAAACAATCTTGTACAACTTTAACCATTGTTGCTCTAACTCAAATTCCCTTTCTTCAAGAAATCGTCACGCCCTACAGGAAACGTGTCACTCAGCTGCAGCCTACCAGAGAGAAAATCGAGACGATCATCGCCACAGGACATGAAGATGGCGGAGAGTATGCNTGGTCATAGTGGTGGTGGTGGTGGTGGTGGCCATGGTGGTCATGGTGGTCATGGAAGCAGAAAAAGCTACAGTGGATACTGAAAAGATGGATACTAAGAAAGCGACACTGATCCTCAAAAAGATTCACTGTCACAGGCACACACGCCTCTTTTCGATGTGCTGGTCAGATTTACATTGTAAATACGCCAAAACAGTCAAATTGACGCAGCAGGCAAATAAATGTATTGAAGTGAGATGAAAGTTTTGAACTTTATTTTTGCCGGTAATTTGTTTGACGTGTTTGTTTTTTGTTATTGAAACTCTACTTACATGAATGAAAGATGGTGTTTTTATGCAAAATTATATAAAAATATAAAATCGTTCAGTGCCAGAGTTCATTTCAGTTGCTCAGTTGGAGTAGTACTCTGCTCATTGAATTTGGCAGCGTCAATGTACAGCGTTTTAGGGCAGGACAGCAAATGTTTGTTGAGATATTTCAAAAAGTCCTGTATGTAGGTGTTCAGTAGAGTGAGGTCACTGTCGCTCAAAGTTGTGAAGAAAAGATAATGGCCTAGTTTGGTGAAAAGGCGCAACAGATGCATTACTCCGTAAAGTTTGGTTAAATCAATTTTGGGAACTATTTCCGTATTATCAGAGCTTGCTGTTTCTTCCTTTACTGACTGCGAATCCGGAGGGTTTTTCGTACCAGCCAAGTTTTCAGAGCTATCTGAAGTACTTTCACTTTGGCTAGTATTTTCAGGTGGAGCAGAATCAGCTGCATTTGAGCTTATTGACGGGTCGCTCGTGATTGCAACAGCTAACGTTGAAGTTATCTTTCGTTTTTTAGATTTTTTGTGCTTTTTCTGGCGTTTCTCTTTGCGTTTGGTTGAAAGTATTTCATAATTACTTGAATTGCGAATTAGCGTTTCGCTGTTGAGTTTAAGATACGCCAGCTGCTCGTGTTCCATTGGATACAGTAAGTCCTTTTCAAGAAAAAAGTTGAAGTACTTGGTAAGGTTCACCGTGAAGTTTTCATAACCTTCAATCGTGTGATTGGGCGGTAACTTAGTGGACAGCTTTTTGATGGAATAGTATTGAGACAAAATTCTGGCAACAGTGTAATTTGGAGGCAGTTTTAGTAGCTGGTTCTGGTTTACAATCAACTCCCAGTCATCGACGAGAATCTGCTTTAGCTCGTCTGGAATGCGAATTTTAAGTTCCTGTGTGCTGAGAAAGTCGTCTTGCTTACAAACAAATGACGGTGTCGTAAGTACTTTAGGTGCTGAAATATCTACAACAAGCTTGTTAGTACAGCAAAAAAAATAATACCTATCAGAGGACTCTAAAACAAACCTGTAGTGCCAAGAGAAGATTCGGAACTAGTGGACTTTGATGTTTTCTTTTCCTTCTTTTCGCGGCTTTTCTTGTGCTTCTTCTTCTTTTTACTTCTCGTTTTTTCACCAGTCCTTTCGCACAGCTTCTTCATTTCCCTTACACTCTTTTTATTGTATTTAAGTATTCGGCTTTCGACGACCCATTCATCGTGCTTTGAGTTCCATTTTTTGTAGTGCACTTTGTACATGAAATGGTTCTTTTCCTTCTTAAGATCAATGCATTTAGCCTCGTACAGGTAGGAGTTTTGCATGCAGATGATCTTTTCACCGATTTCAATAGTTGGCGCATTTTCAATCGGTTTTTCTTTTGCTTTGTTGACACTTTTTGAGTTTTTAGGCGGCATTTTCGCAGAG